CTTTCTTTCTTTCTTTCTTTCTTTCTTTCTTTCTAGAGCCACTTTTGCCTGGTCATGAATTTTCATCCTGTGTTAGGCACAAAAATGGCTGAGTGACTTTGGGCCTATCACTCTCAGCTCTAGGAAGAGAAAGGCAGTGGCAAACCACTTCTGAAAACGTGGTCTAGAAAACTGCAGGGATTTGTCCATGTAGTCACCAGGAGTCAAGGCTGATTTGAAGGCTAAATTTAAAAAATAAAATAAAAATGTACCTTCTACAAATGCTTGAGGGAAGGCTAGCAAGGAGATCAAATTTTGCAGAGAATAGCCATTATTAAACAGTCCAGTAGAGCAGATGAGAGGAAGGTCTATCAAGAACAGTAATTACAATCAGTAGGTCTGTTGTTTATAGATAGCAAGGTCTATCAAGCATGAAGGCCATTGCTGAATGTCTGGCTTGTTTCTGTTATAAGTGTGCATGCTATACTCTTTGGGCAGAGCAATGACGGCACTCAAGCTGGAGTGAATGCTGTAGCTTGCAAAGAAGCAGAGAGAGATTTGGGGACTTCCAAATGGGAATGTATCTAGCATGACTAATCCAAAGACATTGTGTAGCTATCCATCTTTCCCTCCTTGATTGTCCATCCAATTTGCCACTTGCCTTTAAGTGCAAATGCTGTGGTTTGACTATATGAGCTCTTCTGCAGTTGGACTAACTTACTGGTTTAACAGTTGGATCTGATGTTTGATCATTGAGAAACTGAGAAAAGGTTCTGGTGGTATCTTAGTCTTGTGAAGTTGTAGAGATAAATTACTATAAGATATCTAAACATATGCATATTTATATATAAGGATGACAAGTAAGTAAAAGATTGACTTCACTTATTGGAGGCAGAATGGTGGACTTGGGACTTTGGTCCAATCTGATTGGAGTATGTCTGGGGCCTCGGCTCACAGATGACACCAAACCATAATGTGGTCTATTTTGATTCAGTGCTGTGTCAATCCAAGCATTACAATTAATTCATGGTTTGCAGGATGTTGAAATCAAGCCAACCCTGTCTTAATCAACAAACTATGGTTTAGTATGATATTCAAATCAAGCCAATTGTATCTTGGTCAACAAACCTTGGTTTAGGACAATGTGTGAACCTAGTTTGTTGTGTGGCTTATGTTATAAAACTTTGAGTTCCACAGGGTTTTTCCTTGAATATAAAAATAGAATTCACTGTCCTCTCATTTTATTTTTGTTTAAAATGCATTTTTAACTCAAATACACTGAGATAATGCAAGAGAAAGGAGATGGTGTGATGTGGCTCAGGATAATGCAAGTATAGGTAAATCATAATTATATATAGTATGTCACAACCCAAATGATTTCAAATCTCTGGATGGAGAGTTGCTTTTTTCATTATGCCAAGATTTTCTATAACTTGATGTTAACTGTAACTCACACACAAAAGTTTGTTGACCCAACCAATATATTGTAAAAACTGTTGTCCCAACTAATATATTGTGAAAACTAGAACCTTAGGAAGGCAGAATGGCAGAAACTATTGTAGAGTTTCTATAATACATTAATAAATAACATGTTGTTGAATTTGTGGGTAAGGACTCCCACACAGATGTCACCTAGACATAAAGTGGGTGGCAATTTTCATTCTTTTTTGAAATGAGTTCTTAACCCGAGAGACAGTCAGAAAAGATTATGAGAATCCTTTTCAAAAAATGGCGTGAAAGCAACATTTTCAGAAAGAACACCTTAACATCTGCACAATATTCTGCACTAACCAAAATTCCCTTTGCTATACAAATTATAAATATCTGTTCTAAATGTGAAATATTAATACTGCATATTAATATACTGTAGAAAGAGTAAGACAGACATATTTTAAAATATGTGGCAAATTGGGTTTAAGGAGTGTGATAAAGTAATTAGAATGTTTAATCATATCTAAATATAAGTTCAAATCCTGATATAAATCCTCATTCAAACATGTACTGTAGCTTCATGGGGATCTTTGAGCAATCCTTGTTTCTGAGCCTAAACTATGTCACTGCATTCTGGGTGGGATAAAATATGGAGCAACCATGCTTGCTTCCCTGATTTTCTTTGAGGAACAGCAGGAAAGGAAGGAAGGAAGGAAGGAAGGAAGGAAGGAAGGAAGGAAGGAAGGAAGGAA